TTGAAACAACAGTGACAGTGCACTATTGGTGATGTTACTGCAGAAAGCTCCCTGTAAGAAATAAACCCCATGTCCTGTAGCTGAATGTGTGCACCTTCTTTTCACGCACAGTCCCCCAAACAGATTAATTGAACCTATCCAAACTTAACTTCAGCAAAGCATGGATGTAGTTTGTATTTCAAAAGGAATTTAGAATCACTGTGAATGACCTTGATAATTGACACCATCTATAATTTGAACTTCCATGAACTCACCTTTGTAGTGTTATTCCTAAGAGCATGGCATGAACCTCAACGTGATTTTGAATTTTGTAAGTATAACCAACTTTGGTCTTTTGTGTGATATGGAAAATTATGTCACTTTTTTCCAAGGAACAGTCAAGTCTGAAAACTTAGTCTTGGTGGTGCAGAAGTAAAGCATTTAGCAAATGGATAGATATTTCATTATACATGCCCATCGTGGAAATATCAAAAGCCAGCACCTCTTTCAAACAGTGTAGCTGACAGAGGGTGTGTTGTGTTTTTATATTTTCAGGTTGTGTTGCTAACCCATTTGCAAAGGTATGAAGAGTATGGGAGATGACACAGTAGTTGGGCTGTCTTCTTTGCTGTGCTATCCAGTGAAGTGGTGCTTTTTGAATGACTATCTTTTGTGGCTAGGAGTCGGGTTTGGGAGTCTGGTTGATACAATCAGTTCTGTTGTTTCAGAAAATAAGAGAATCGGGCTGTCGATGGAGAGTTTCTTTAGGGATCTTGCAGTAGGATTTATCACTATCTTTTGCATGGCTTTGGGATTTCCTACTGTTACATGTTTGTAGGGAATGTCCTTTTTACCACCATACTGTGGGATGTTTCTTCTCAAATGTTTATACTAACCCCCTGCAGTGGGAGCCCTTTCTTCTCTGAGTTACAGTCTTAATGCACTTGCATCACTTGTATTAGGATTTTAATTCCTTCCTCCTGCTGTGAAAAAACCAGTCCAAATAGTTCTGCTGGAGTTCTAAGAAGAATCTTGTTCCTCCTCCTCTTGGTCTCTTTTCCTTTGTTCAGCCACCTAGCACTTTTTCCACTCCTCTTTATTAGCAGAGAGGAGCTGTGGAGGGAAGAGGGAGTCTCCTTCCATAGATTATGAATGCTCAGGTAGGATGTAACCTAGTTCTTGAATCCAGGAGTCAGCAGGAGGATGTTCAAAGGAAGAGGACGAAAATGTCTTGTAATTGGGATTGCTTTTGCAGCCTTCTGCAAAATCCAAAACAAATCCATTGCAAGTGGAATTTCCTGATGTAGAACAGTACAAAATAAAGGAGATTTTGGATCATCTGTTTAATTCACTTGTTTTCAGTTGTCTATCTGAATGATCCTGTTCTTTGCTCACAGATCAAGTCAAACTTGATAATCTCTTTAATTCGAGATGTTTGTGGCAAAGCACTAACTCTTGTTTATGTTTCAATTTCTTCACTCTGTTGGAAAAGGTTTTCTTTGATAGTGTGTCAAAGCTTATTGAAGTTCTTGACATTAACTACTGTATCAAATATGAAATACTGCATCCTAAGTTATTTCTCTCTAGTTTATGTGACTGTTTTCTTTTGTCTGGGAATTTTACAGACATGCTGTAAAGCAGCTGCAGTTGGAAACCGGCTGCTGTGTCTTGGAAGCCAGTTGAAGTATCATTCTTTGTATGTGCTTTCAAACTACTATTTGGCTAAAGACAGCATAGTGATTCTTCAAATTTAATATGTCAGAGTGTGCTGATGAGGAACTGTTTTAACTGAGGTGGTTTGTTTAGTCAGTCTTGTTAAACTGTTTTGACCGTTCAAGCTGATCTGATGTATCTGCTGAGCCAGGTCTCCTTGCAATCCTACTTAAAGGCAGTTTGTATGCTGTTTTATTTTAAGGCTGGTGTTTTGGACATAGACAAAATTGCCTACTTTTGTCTGAGGTGTCTTGGGTTTAGTAAAACCTCATTTTGCTGATTTGTTGCAAACTGAGTAGCAATAGCTGAGTACTTTACATTAGCAGAGGTAAACTCTCAAATGTGACAACATTTCTAAAGTAGAATAGCATATTGCCCAGTGGAGGGAGCACAGTAACTAAGCGCTCTAATCTGTATAGGCTGCTTTTTCACCTTGATTTTTGGCTGACTTTGTGGAGTAGGGTACCTATAGCTACCTTAATGAGCAGATTGGCCTCTGGGTATGCTAATGATTTTCTGGTTGCATGTGCTCACTGCCACCTAAGCAGGTATTGGTTTCTTTCAGTATTGAGGAGATGATTTAGACCATAGTCTTGGGGTAAAACACTCAGCAAGAAAGGATCAAAGACTATAACCATCCCTTACGAAAGGGAAGACCCTTTCCCCAGTCCCCACCTTCACAGATCATATCAAGTCATGCACTTCATGCTGGTCCATTCCTACTCAGATGCAGACCAGGAATTGATATGGTTGGCAACGTGTGGCTCAAAGCAAAATGTACTAACCCTAAAAAAATTGAGATTTGTTTCTAAATGCCAAGCTCCTCTAGTATTTTTTCCATAGTTCAGTGATTCCTGAATCTTGAAAGCTCTGTTTGTAGTATAAATGAAAATCAATAGGTTTGATAATAGAATTTATATGCATAATACGGTCTCCTGTGGATAAAATATTAAATCGCTTAATAGAGCTTAATATTGTTTACTCCTTGACCTCATTAGGAAAAAATGGAAACTGTACTATCCTTACAAGCTACAAACACTTCAACACTTTGATCACTGTTCTGATTGCCATTCGTATCGACAGCTGCTCTGCTGAAAAGGAAGGGAAACATGAAGCCTGGGAGCCGTGTGTGATATGGTATCGCAGTGCGGGACAGCATGAATCTGCATTGTGTGTGATTACCAGACAGTAAATCAGCTGTGCTGTGCCAGAGCCAGAAACCAGTAGCTTTCACGCTTGCTGCCTGTTTCCCACTCATTGTAAAGCCCTGCCCTATCACTTGATAGACCTGGAAAGGAAGTGGAGAGGAAGTGAGTGCCACTGCTGGTTCAAAATGTTCCAGGACGACTGGAAAGTTTGAGCAATGGCCTGGGTGAGAAGAACAAGACCTTATTGACAGGGTTCAGTCCTAGTCAAGCCTGTTTCCCGTCAACTTCCGAAGTAATCATAGTCTTTCTTTTTTCATCTCATTTGTACTCTCTGGGTCTCCCACTTTCACCTTGGTTTTATTTTATATATTTATTTACTTTAGTGAACTGAACAACTAAGGAGAATTGGGAAGCTTTCTTCCCCGTATTCCACTTGTGATGAATACTGGGGGAATTACCTATGAAAAAGATGACAACCACAGTAAATGTAGTTGTCATCAGCTGCTTTACTTTTTCCATTTTTGGAGTTTGCATATTCTTTGAATTTCTCCATTCAGTTGATATACAGAAAACAGACTGTTCCAGTGATTCCGTGGCACACATGTCAGTTGTGTTCTAGATCAGTGTGATAGACTGACAGCTGTTGGGTTATGGAACTGTAAAGCTGTGTGAACACATGTATAGATGTAGTGAGGAAGTATGTAAACTGAGACTCGCTTTCTTGGTTTCAGGCTTTTCTGGACTAAGAGTTTATGAAACATACCATAAAGTCATACAGTTTTAATAATGTTGCAATTTTAAACATATGGCATGCCCCTTGTACACTGTACTGTGCCATTTTGGATAGACTTGTGCATGATTTTCCCATCAATGCAGTAAGCAGTCTCTGCTGGCAGTCCTGCTGCTCTAGGGCCTCCTAGTGCATCTCGTATTTCTTACTTCAGTATGTTACTCTCCTTAGGCTGTCTATGAGATGAGAAAAGCTCATTTAATCTGAGGTGTGAGAGATTTTTCTTTGAGAAACATGCTTTGTTTTTGTAAAAAAAGGACCAGAGAGACGTCTGTTTAGTTTTGCACTTAAATGTCTCTGGCTATGATCACAGCAGAGCAGATCCACAAAATGGAGTTTAAGCATGTGAGCATAGGTGGTATCCCATGTTCTTTATGGTCTTTCTGTATCAAGTCAGTTAACTCTGGGATACTCTTGCATGCTAAAGGAACAAGTTCAAAAAATCAGGCTCTTTGGGCATGGGTTATATTCACTGAATTGGTTAGTGACCACTCCCCTGGAGGGGTAAGCTTTGTTGGGTTTGTGATGGTGTGTATGCATTTAGAAGCATAATATGTATATACACCAAATGTGTCTGATTCCTTATATTTTATTTAGTAGTCCTGGCAATAGTGATGCCAGGAAAATCATCTTATTTCCGAAAAATATATGATTTGAAGTCTTTGAGTTTTGCAAGTTTAATAATTTAAGTTTGACAAGGATTTAAAAGAAAGGGAAAAAGGGGGGGGGGCAAAAAAAATCAACAAAAAACACCCAAAACCAGAACAACCCAAGCTCTCAATCCTCAATGATACATAAAATGTGAAAGTGGCTTGTATTCTGTAGTATAAATATACAGTGTGCTAGAGGTGTTTTTGAAAACTCAATTGGTCAGGCAGAATAATTGCTGCTTCCAGAGGGCTTGTGGAAGCAGTGCGTGTGCAAGGGCGACGTGAGAGAGACCAAGTGTTACAGAGGCACGTTGGCTTGCAGAGCATGCATAGCTTGTACCAATTTTTTTTAGAATGTTTTTCCTTCCCCATGTCAAAATAGTTCACATTCAATAACTGTGGTTAGGATATTTTGGAAAGATGTCCCCAGGCACTTCATAATGGAACTTGGGAAGAGATTCAAGACACAGGAGTTCTCAAACATTATTTGTAAGCAACTTATTTTAAAGTATACTACTTCTTAATGTAAAATTAACCAAAAAGTGTCTGTGGGATATTTAGGTTGGTACATGAATCTGGAGAAATCAAAGTATATGCTTGTTGCCAGTTCAGCTCACTGTAATATTTTTTTTTTCCCCTTTTTTGAGACTTTAACCAGTCCAAATCTCCCAGGCCTATTCACTGTGTTTCTAACATTTTCCCATATCTTACTCTTCTCAGGATGGCTCGTACTTGGCCGAGTTCCTGCTGGAAAAAGGCTACGAGGTGAGTGACTCGGTGACCGGCTGCAGGCTGATGGAGCCGATTGGATGCTGCAGCTCCAGCTTCCTCTGCTTCTGTCCTTCTCTGTGTATGTTTTCCACTCCAGCCCTAGATAACAAATCAAAACTCCAGAGAGGAATGTGCAGCATGGCCTGTAATCATGCCAGCTTATTGTACTATTTATCATCTAATGTCCACTGGTGGGTTCCCTCTTCTCCTCGGGGTATAGCTGCTTTGCATGTTTCCCGCCAACTCAGATAAGCGGCAACCTGTGTGAGCCAAAACTGTAAGAAATTAGGCAATAATTTATGATGCAATGTACCACATAAAGGAATAAGAATCTCTTGTTTGTTCTCTTTTTCCCCCTCTCTCTCCACCCTAAAGGCCCTTTTATTTTGGCAGTTATACTTCAGTGATGAAAACCTTGCATTTTGCTTTTTCTGTTTAAAAAAGGGGAAAAAGAAAAAAACCCGAACCAACCCTCAAAATATGTTTTTATAGTATTATTTTCCACCCCTTTTCTTAGATTAATTGTATTCTTGATTAATATTAGTATTTTCATTTACCGTTTCCTTAAAATAAAGGGAGTCTGATTCCTAACTGCTTGCTGCAAAAAATTTCTCTGGCAAAATCATGTTTTTGGTGACCCAGCAAAGCAACAATCACATTATTATAGTATGATTTGATGGTTTTGAATTGTTGTGGGCATATATATAAGAATATTTGCATTCTTAGTCATGAAAGACTCTTCCAAAATGCATGATAATGAAAGGAAAGGGCTGGTCAGATTGATCTCCCTACAATGCAGTATTTTCTGGGGTTTTAATGAAAGTTAATGCTTGTTCTCGTATTTTATTACTTCTGTTCTAATACTGCTTCGTAGTTTAGTGAGAGGTCTCTTCTCAGCCAGTGTGTTCTTTCCATGCTTTTGCACATGGTTAATCTTGCCTTGTTCATTCCATCCTTTCTTCTGGTTTGCTAATTGATCTGCTTATTGATGTGTCTGCTGTAAATTGATTATTTTCACTATTTCTCCGTTCTATTTGGGGAAGAGAGGTATCATTGTGATTGCTGTCTCCTAGTCCACAATGAAGTTGGGAACTGCTAACTGCAACTAAAATGAAATATAACCCTTTCCATAGTAGAAAGGTTCTAATAATTGTGCGGTTCCTTAACTCTGTTTATTTGCTGGAATTCTTTCCTGTGTTCCCAGTTAGAGACCTCCGTTCCTGATGAGCTGAACACAAGAATACATGTGATAAGTGATTGCCTCCCTAACAAAGATGGTCCCTTTGACTTCTTTGAATAATTTGTTTTTTTTTAAACATCAGTCGCTGTTGAGAAAACCCCACTGATCTTACATTAACTAGATTAACCAGTTTGCACACATTTTCGTTTGTCATAAAGTTTGCATTTCACCTGTCCCATGCAGACAAAGGTATCTTTCATCAGTTTTTTTACGGTTATATTGCTGTCATGGATTAAGCATTTGGCAGGTTTTCTTTCTCTTGTGTGTGCATACCAGAAAAAGGAGTGGGAGGAAAAAAAGAACAGAAAAAAGAAGCTAGGTTTGCATGTTTTCTTGTTATCGCTGGATGCAACAGATTCTCTGGATCTGTTTGTTTGCTGAAACTTTTCTTCGCAGTCCTGGGGTGATTGCATTTAGCACATCTCATTGGTTAAATGTCGGTATCACCGTCATTCAGCTGACACAAAGCTCTTTCAAGCACAGTCTTTCATCAAGGTTTGAGCTGGCAAGATTTGACTTATTCATCAATCGTTTGTGTGAACTGGAATTTTAGCGTGACTTCATTCATAGATAGATAATTGAGAGCTCAGGAAGACTCTCATCAGGACTTAAAGCCAAAATATTTAATTTTGCTGGAAGAGTTGTAGAGCACTTCAGTTAGCTTCGTTTAGAATAATTTGATGCTTTAAAATTATAGTCTGCTTTTTACTCAGCAAAACAGAAGTTAATCTGAGTATTCAAAATACTTCCAGCATCTTTTGTGAAAGGGAAGTTGTTATAGAAGTTTCTTTTTTTGAAAGTGTTTCTCTGTAAACCTTATGTTGCTATAAATTATCCACATAACTTTAACCACATAACTATGAAAATTTATCTTTATAAATTCATTATTTTAAGGAAATTTCTTTTGGCAGGCCGTGTTTCTCAGTTTCCCATTGATTCTCAAAATGGAAATATTTTAGTTGTAGAAAGTTTAGCATTTGAATTGTAGAACAAGGTATGTTGTAAGCCTGTTGTGTGGCTGGGCACACAAGATTTTATGCAAAGAAATTGGCGTCATAAATTTGACTTGCAAGTTGTGAAGATGAAGCTATTCAGCTGTTATTAGATATCTTGCCACAAAATGCCATCCTTAAAGCTGTCGACTGGTCTCACTCTGTGGTTATGCATACCTTTTTATTCAGTTAAGTTTCAGACTTCAGATGGAATAAGAAGTGTCAATAACCATAGCTTGTGTTATGCGTGAAACAAAAATCCCCAAATAAAACCAAACCAAAACCCTGAAAACTCTGTTCCTACTGGTATGTTCTCATAGGTTCAAGTTAACATTGAAGTAAGAGAGTAGAGCAATGGCCCAGCCCAGCTGAATGTAGGATGCATCAAAGTGTAAGGGATCACTTTCAGGAGTAATGGGCAGGGGGAAGTAGAGGACAGTCAGATGCTGAAGCTTGATTTCACTTGTGCAAGCACAACTTCTGCAGCTGGTAACCCAAGCTAATATGAATTTTGTCAGCAGGCATGGGGCTATCTTACATAAGGAAGAAACAGGGTCAGTGTCTGAACAATTTCTCTAATGTATTAGACACAAATGAGCTTTTCATTAATGTTAGTCAGAACCAGTGGTTTTTTTTACAGTCTTATTTATCATGGCTGGTTAAAGGAAATTCCCAACCTGCGTTTCAGCCTTAAGCTTGCCTGTCTGTCTTGTAACCCAGTGGATAACACTGACTCATGAGGTCCATAAAAAAGCACTGACTGTTCTGGCTGTTCTTCCACCACCCCAGAAAGTGAATAACAGCTGTTTTCTAAAATAGTTTTGGGCCTTGCAGGTGCTGCCCATTCTTTCCCCTTTTTCTTCTCCACTTCTCTCTTCTCTGCCCTCACTCTCCTTTCCTTAGCCCCATCTCCTGCTGCTTCTTTTTCCATGCCCATCATCTCTGGCTCCAGAAAGACTTCTCTGCAGCCAGGGAGAAGTGGTTATCTCAGCATTCACGTATTGCTTCTCCAACTCCGATAGTGCTGATAAGTCTTACTCACTAGGAGATGGTGCTTTAGGGCAATTCAGTGTTTCCTGTACTGTTTGTGATGCTTGGGCTGCTAGTGGTGTCAACAAGGGAGAAGGTGAAACCACTCAGAGGTTTGAAAGTAAATGACAGCATCAGAGGTCTCCTCCAACTATTTAGTTATGATTTGGATAATTGTATGTCTTTAGAAATAGAGACAAGCCCTGGTTACCTTATAGAAGGGTTAGGCCTGTGTATGTGAAAAGAGAAGTGATGATGATGAACACTTTTAATGCTTACCTTTTGTATTTCTCCTTGTTCAACCCCCCAGGTGCATGGCATCGTTCGTCGGTCTAGTTCTTTTAATACGGGCCGGATTGAACATCTCTATAAGAACCCACAGGCTCACATTGAAGGAAGTAAGACTTTGTTTTTATATTTAAGGTGACTTTGGGTTTCGGTTTTCTTTCTGGGGGGCGAGGGGTTGGGGATTTAGTCTGTGGTGTGTGTTGGTGGAGAAAGATCTGCTGGAGCAGGAAGGGAATCCCAGTTTCCTCTACCTAAATGTTAGTAACAAGTAGTTATTTTTAAGCTCTGCTTGATTTGGGATTGGTTATTTAAAACAAAGGAACAAGTAAAAAAAACCCCACTTGATAGCTTAGCTTCACTTTTCTCTGCTTGTGTTAGCTAGCTGCTCTATCTCAGAAAGAAAGTGATGACTGTCTCTGATGAAAATGTGACACAAAACATAGATATTCTTGTGTGTGTGAGTTACCAAAAGGGGAAAATATGAAAGGGGCCTATAAGGATGCTGGGAAAGGACTCTTCATTAGAGACTGTAGTGATAGGACAAGGGGTAATGGGGTAAAATGTAAACAGGGGAAGTTTAGACTGGATATAAGGAAGAAGTTCTTTACTGTGAGGGTGGTGAGGCACTGGAATGGGTTGCCCAAGGAAGTTGTGAATGCTCCATCCCTGGCGATATTCAAGGCTGGGTTGGACAGAGCCTTGAGTGAGATGGTTTAGTGTGAGGTGTCCCTGCCCATGACAGGGGGTTGGAACTAGATGATCTTAAGGTCCTTTCCAACCCTAACTATTCTATGATTCTATAAGGAATTGTGTGGAAATGCTGACAGTTCACATGTATCTAGGCAGTAGGAGTTAGGTAATGGCTGAGTCCGCAAAAAGCTACAGGAGGTTAAAAACACTGAGCTATCAGAATATTAAAATGTGAGAGGTTTTGAGGCAGTTATCTTAAGTACTCCCTTCTGTATCCTCATGAATTTCTTAGTGCCTGATGGAGGTGAAGGCTTGGGGACAGCCTGCATGACAGCATGAGTAAGACATGGTCACTTCCTACTGATGACAGGAAGAATGTATCTTCTGAATTTCTGCACCCAAGGAAATTAATATGTTTTTATTCTTCCCTGAAGGAAAGGCCTTGTTTTTGGAAATTAACAAAAAATTTACTGTATTCTGTTACCGATGATAATTTTGAAAGCTAAAATCATTGCCTTCAGTGTACGCTTTGCAAAAATTGTTTTGAGTACTTTAAGAAGGTTAACTGGTCACTTAATGAGAAGCTCAAATGTTGGATGGTTCCAGTTCAGCAGGATTGAGCATTTTAACAAGCATATAGTTCTCTAAACTATTCATATTTTGTAGACTTGCACAGAATGACACTGTCCTAAATAGTCCAATTTAAGTTATTATTAACACTAAATATCTCTATGCAGTCTCATGTATTTTGAAGTCTGCTTCCCCTCATGGTTGAACAGAGCCTAATTTTATCAAATTGTACTATTTAATGCTACTTTTAGAGTTCACTTGATCTTTGCTTGTAATTTAAAAAAAAAACAAAAACCAAACCCAACCCAAAACTGTAGATAGTTGCTACTTACTGTACATTGTTCCTTAAAATATCTGATTGAGAGACGGGTAAAATTGAATAAAATATCTTCATGAAGAATACTGAAATCTGTGCTTCTGTCAAGGAGAATGCAAGAACTGTGTTTCCTATGACTTGTATTCAGGGTTTACAAGGTAAAATGAAGCAAGAGAAATCAAATAGGAACTGTGCATTGTGAGGACCATGGTGTGACTATGAAAAGCAATTTGAAAAGGCAATGTAGATCATGATAAATATGTAAATGAGCATTTAAGGAAAGGCATGGAATAAAGGAAAAGAAAGCAGACCTTAAATGTTTTTCCTCAGTTTTTATCTAATTTTTGTTTAACTGAGGAATGCAGCCATATGAATGGGAGGAGGAGGAGGAATTGGACTTGGAATCTCAGGAAAAGCTGTTCCATGGAAACTGTTTGGAAACAATGGGTTTCCAGGCAGTACTGGAGGAAGCAAAGAAGCAATAGTGGTTGATGTGAGCAAACCCTAATTTTTTCTTTTCTGTATGTGTTCTTCCCATGAGGAATTGATTACACAGTGCACGATGATGATCTTCCTAGACAGTGAATCTCTTTATACAAAAGAAATAGTAGGGAGAACAAGAAGGAAAAACAAGCTGTTTCCTGAAGCAAGCCCTTCAGCTATTGCTTGCTAAGGAGGTTTATAGATTGGATAATATTGCTAAACCCCAAAGGTTTTGACATTTAATCTGTGTTTATAAATATTTATACCAAATAAACACCATTTCTAGGAAGTCTTTCCACTTAGCCTATTCCTCCTGAAGGACCTCTTTTTCATTGGTCGGAAAATGAGCAAAGCCTCTTGTCCTGCTCCCATTCAGAAAAAGCCCTTTTGGACAAGAATCTTTAAAGACTTGATTGTAGACCAAAATGGGTATTCCCCTTCGACACCTTTAAATTTAAGGTAATCATGGGAGGGTATTTCTGATGCTTGGCTTAGTGTGGCTGGCAGCCCACCTTCCCCTGGAAAGCTCTGGGGCTGCTCTCTGGCCTGGCAATGGTGGCAGAACTGAATGTCTCTGCTGTAGGAAGAGAGAGCCTGACTGTCTTTCCTCCTCAGGTGCTGCTTAGGCTGGAGAGGAACCAGTTGCTCTTTCAGACCCTAAGGCTCCCACAGAGCTGCTGCTGCTCCCTGGACCTCTTATAAAGATGTCATCTGCTCCATTCTCTCTGAAAGGATGGCTAAGCTGGCAGGGTGATTTTGTTTAACTCCCAGCCAAGGTTAGCAGCAGAAGAAGAGGGTCTCCTGTTGCCATGGGGAAGCTTTCTTTTCTGGTACAGAAAGGATAGTGCATTTGAGTTCTTCCCTGCTCCCACCAGCCCAGAGAGTTCTTAAAAAAGGTGATAATTGCTATCAGAGAAATAGGTTAGGTAGTGCTTGCTCTGGGTGTCTTTTTAGCATTGTAAGAAAAATGCAGCAGTTGTTAAGGTGGTCTGGACACCAGCAGTATTAAAGATTGCAGGTTAAAACCAGTATCAGAATAGTTTTATCCTGTAACCGTTTGGGATCTTGTGCATGCTGTGGCCCACAGGCCAAATTGGTTTCATGCATTGAATTTCTTTTGGAAAGCAGGACAGCTGCATTCCATACAAGTGGAAATGAAGTGTTATACCAATGCAGTTTGTATAGGACTGATGGCAGTAATGAAGGCAGCCCCCACCATGGATAATTGATGTGTGTGCACAAAAGGGGTCATAACCTCCTTGCCAGCATTCATACTTCATCACAGTTATCACTTTTTTGAAAGAGTTGCACTACCATTCCCTTATCTGTTAGTCACAGCTTCATCTGGATCTTGAAGACCTTTCAGAACTGTCCATTTTCAAGCAATGCAGATGTAAAAGCAAATTTGAAGAATACACTGTGACCTGCTGTGCTGTGTCACTTTATCAACCTGAGGCGCCTCAAGCACATGTTAAATAGGAATGTGCAGAGCTAAACACCTGAGAACTGTGTGATCTGTACTTCCTTGCTGCCTTAAACTGTTAAAAATGACAACAAAAAAGCATGCCATAAAAAAAAGCTGGTCTTATGCTCTTACCTGCTTTTTCACACTCAGATTGGAAAGTAGTCAGGAAAGAATAAATAACAGTTCTGCCACTGACTTACCTAACCCCGTTTGACATTCTCCTGTGTAGTATCATGAAGTATGTTTCATTGACAGTTACAGTATTCTCTGAAAATCTTTTTTTGGTGTTTATTGATATTTTTAAATGGGAAAACAATAGTAATAAAATGCAGCACATAGTACTGTAATGTTACTTTAACGTTCATCTTGTAGTTGTATCAGACATTTTTGTTGTGTTGTGAAATTGTTTACAGTGAGGAACATAAACATGTATGACATTTTGGGAAGGAGGAGAAAGCTATTGGAGTATGCTTAAGTAATTAGAAGTCTTTGTGAGTGATATTAGAAACCTTAATTAAAATAATGTGAGGGTTCATGGCTGAAATTCTGTATATGACATTGTTCTAATTTATACTACCTGAGTTAATGAAGTGTAAGCTATTAAAGAAATACAAATGCTGCTAGGTAAATCAGATTATTTAAAAGAGAATTTGAAATGGTAGTTATTACTTCTGCAAGGAAATGTATTTTGTGCTTAAAGCACAGAAAAACAACAAGCAAAACTTTGTTCAGCTGGTGATCTTTTAACTTTTTCCAGTAAATGTTTACTTGGATTTTAAACCTGGAATAGCATTTGGACCAAGAATTGCCATACTGTTCTGGGACTAAAGTTTATTAACTCTGTGTTCTTAAACTCTGAAGACATGAAGCTGCACTACGGTGATCTCACAGACAGCACCTGCCTGGTGAAGATCATTAATGAAGTCAAACCCACTGAGATATACAACCTGGGAGCTCAGAGCCATGTCAAGGTGAGTAGCTTCTGGCACTGAGAATTATGAATATGCATTGGCAGTGTTATACTGCTTTAATTATTTTAGACTGCAGCATTCGTAGCTGTTTTAACAACTGCTAACTTTAGCAGGTAAACACTGCCTTAAATCCAGATAGTTGTTTGCTGCAGTGCTGAATTACTGTATGAGTCTTGCTATTAAAAATATATTAAGATGTCGGATTAAGTAAGGCTAAGTTGTCATTATCAACAAAATCCACAGGTTTAAGAATCTGATTTTTCTACCATTTGAAACAACTTTTGTTGTGGAGTTTGCTGCTGACCTGTCCTATTGGAGAAGTTTTTTAGTGTTGTTAGGTCAAATGGTTTTTAGAACCACATTATTCTGTTTGCATTAAAATCAATACATGTATCAGAGTGTATCACTTCTAGAAGGGCTTCACCTATACCAGTTTTCATTTAGGTGGTATTCTTTGAAAGATTGACCAACAAATAGAGGAAACAGCTTTGCTCCTACTAGTGGTATTATAAAATTTCTGGATTTTTGATTGGCAAAGAGTTACAGAAACTGAAACAAAAGGACTTGCTGAAGATTGGTAACGTGACCCTGGCAAGTCTGCTGCATCATAAGGAAAAAATGAACAATAATAGAGAGGGTAACTTTAGTTTGTATTTTACATATGTTAAGCTATATTGGTGTCTTGTGGAAAAGCTTGGTTTATTAACAGTTGATCTCTATGTACTTGTGAAAACCTTCTTCTTGCCTCTATTCACGATTACAAGCTGAAACTGATGGCCAGGCTGCAAATTCTCTTTAAAATAAATTGTGTGTCAGTCTTATCTCCTGTCCTTATTGTGTGTGACATGAAAGTATTCTTAACTGGTATTTATCTGATTTCTCCATGCTGAGCATTAGTCTGGTTTGGTTTGTTAGCTGAGGAACAGAAGTATAAGAACAAGGCTGCATGAGTCCAAGGGCAGCTTTGGTCCAGATGGCAATATAAATGCTGCTTTGCAGAGTGAAACCTGAGCCAGCAAACCTTGCTGAGTATTTGCAGTCCACAGCTAAATGTTCCATCGTTTCTTTTCTTGAAAAAGTGCATTGGATAACAATCTACAGGGAAAATACTTGTGTCCCTTAGGTGGTGTTAGCATGTTGCTAATATTCTAGTCCCGACCTATCTCCATAGGGCTGCTGCAGCTGCTAACAACTCAAATCACAGTGCTCCAGTGGGAGGGCATAAAGTGGGGGTGGTGATGCTGCTATAGGTTCTTGCATGACATTGCCATGAGCTCTGGGAAAGTTTATTCCTCAAGTATCTCACTGCATGAACATTTTGAAATAGTGCAGATCAGACACCGAGTCTTGGCTTTTGGAGATCTTGTGTGCTTTAGGGATATAATGAGCACAGTGAGGAGCCATCAAAATAGCTTTCTTAGAAGCTAGCCTGAACATGGCAGCCCAATAGTTAGGCAATGTTTGGAGTCCTACTGGAAATCTAGATGGACTTCTGGAGGGTGTGCTTATTATGCTTCCTAGCATCTCCAGTAATACTTCTGTTCTTACAGCTGAGGAGAGAACCTAGGCACCCCAAGTCTGTTGACTGAGGTGGTTGGGGAACTTGACTGTAGTATTTTAAGTTGGACTTAAAAGCAGTTCAACAGTGCATTTTGAAACAATTCCCAGTGTTAGAAGAGGGAGTAGAACTTGGTGATCTGCTAGGGGTAAATGTCTTCAGCAGATACCTGAACAGCTCTTACCACTTTGGTATGTAAACTTACTGGTTTTGCCTTTGTGCATCGTGTTTAGGGAAGAAGGGATAAAAGAACTTCTAATCTTAGCTTGCTTCACATTCTGGTGACTTTGAACCAGTGACGTGTTCGGTATTTTTTGGTGGTGTTTGTGTTGGCTTGTGTTTATGCAGAATAAAGTTTCCAATCACTCTCACTTCCAGTTAGTTTATGTGAGCCATGCTGAAATGAAGGAAAGTAAAATAATAGGAAGTTGGTCTGGTTTCCTGTAGGAAACCAATGAAGATGACATTGGTTCTTGGAATGAGCCCACGGTAGTCTGGGAAATACTGTCAGAGAAGACATTTTTCTGAATCATAAATAGTGAGGACTATGACTCATAAAGTAGGTCACTGAGAGGCTGATCTGATCTTATTCATGGGAGAAAGTGAGAGAAGACTTAAACTTGCTCCTTATTAAAAACAGTAAACTTAACAGAATGATATCATCAGTAGGAACAAATTATCCAGTGTGTGTTCCCGTCTGTTTTGGTGAGAAATAGGGATTAGCTCTTTTCATTGTAGCTTCTCTATTGGATGTTCAGAAAACAGTAGCACATTCACTTCAGAGTTACTAAGTAAACAGTTTAGCCTCATTTTTTCTCTCCAGTCTCTACATGTCCTGCTGCTTTGGCTTTTGGTGCTTTGAGAATCCAGTGCGTTGACTATGATTTGCCATATGTATATCAGCAGCATGCAGATTGCTTAGTCTAAATTGTGGTATGTAACTATACTCATATACTTCTATGTGTTGAATGTCTTGAAAAACAATTATCCAAATTTTAGGTAGGCTAAAATTGTATTAAAGTCTCTTCTTGCGCAGTATTTCAGTAGATGCACGCACACACACAGAGATGTGAACTTGTAACTATTTTTTTTTTTCTGAAGGAAAAGTGATCTCATCAGTATTTGACTGACCTGTAAAATTTTTTTGAGTTCTGTTGAACTGGTGAAGTTGGTAAATATTTTCTTTATAAATTTCTGAAGCAAAAAGGCAGTGCAACCTTAGTAAAAGATTACTTCCTTTCAGCACTTGAAACTTATTGCACTTAGCAGTTAAACATAATAGGACTGAAGAAACGGCTCCAGTTTTATGGCTATTGCTGTCGTAGCAGTCATATAAATAGCCTAGTAAATTTAGGTGTAGTGTAGATAGCCACAGTTGTCTAGTTTACTTCTTTAAATCTTGTTGTGTAGTAGAAAGTTATTTTGCCTACATACTGCTGGCATTTGTTGCCAGAAATTTTATAGCACATGTATTTTAGGAGTTCTTCTTTAGTTTAGGGACTATTAAAGTTCTGTTTAAAGTTCTTACAGACATGTGGGTGCTTAGACTCTCACGGGAATTAAGTTTAAGAAGCAAAGCTTACCTGAAAGGTGAAATGTAAAAATAAGGGGCTCTTTTCATATAACCCTTCATTTGACTAAATATCCCTTTACACTTGTCTACTGAATTCAGCTTTGTCTTTTCTATTTCTGCTTCTGTATTTCTGTGCTCTCCAAAGAGAAGGCCCTCAGCCTTCGAGGCCTTTAGACTCCCCTTTGCCAATGCTGGAAAAATTAAAGACCTTACTGATTTCTGATTATTTTATGGTTTTATCTGCATCAAATACTGGTACCTAATTGCTGTGAACCTAACATATTATGAAATACTACTTCATTTCATCACTGTACCTGTTAATGTGACTGTCTGTTTTCACACTGCATGGAGAGTGAAGTGGCAGCAGGGAAGATGAATAAATAAAAGAAATAGCAGCAACATCTTTAGAGCCCATGGACTAAAATTCCACCTTATGTAAAAACCTGTACTCACCTGTTGCTCTGCTGCACCCGAAGTTACAGATTGCAGGCTGGGTGGTAGGAAAGTGGGATTGCTGAAGTGAGAAGAAAATTGAAGTACACAATCAAGAGCTATCATATAAACTTATCAAAATCACAGAATGGCTGAAGGTTCGAAGGGACCTCTGGAGAGTGTGTAGTTCTAGCTTCTTACTCAGAGTCAGCTAGAGCAGGGTGCAAAGAACCCTGTCCATTGAAGTTTTAAGTAGGATAGAGACTCCACAGCCTCCATGACATCCTGTTCCTTCATCTTTGCAGTTCCATCACCCTCACAGTAAAAAAAAAAAACACAACCCACAAAGTTTTTCATATTTTTCTAATGGCATTTCCCGTATTTCACTTTTTCCCCTGTACCTCACCTCCTATCACTGGTTGCCACTGAGAAGAGTCTGTCTGGGTCATCTTCGTTCTTCCCAACACCCATCAGGTATTTTAAAACACATCAGTCAGAGCCCCATTTGAGGCTTCTCCAGGCAAACAAATCCAGCTCTAAATGACTCTTCACATGACATGCTCAAATCCTTCAGCCACTGTGGGTCTGTTATGTCTGTACATAATTCTGGTAGCCTAGAATTCACAGTGCTGTCACCACTCAGCACTGTGGTAAAGGCAAAAGATCACCTCCTTACTCTTCTGGTGACACATAATGCAGCTCCAGAGGCTGTTGCCAACCGAGCGTGTTCATAGGTCTCGAGGCCCGGGAACAGCCTCCACTGGGACCCGCACTGCAGCTATCCCCTCAGGCAGCTATCCCCTATGTCAGAGCTTGTCATGCAGAGCTATATGCATGACAACGCATAGCTGTTCTGTTCCCGGGAAGGTTTAGAGTGGACGTTAGGAAGCATTTCTTTACCTAGAGGGTGGCCAAAACCTGGAAGAGGCTTCTAGAGAGGTGACCAGTGCCGTCTGCCCGTCAGTGTTTGAGAGGCCTTTGGGCAACACCCTTACTAACAGGCTTTAACTTTTGGCCAACCGCAAAGTGGGGGAGCAGCTGGGCTTGATGATCATTGTAGGTCTCTTCCAACTTCCAGTTTTTCTCTCCCTACTCCCTTCTTTCCCAAACAGAACGTGCTGAGGGAAAACTGGATGCCGTTTCTTCCCAGCCCTGCGCTAGCGCAAGCGATTGAATGGGTAATTGTGTCCCACCGCAGGCATGGGCTCTGTCACTCTGTGGCAAGGAGCCCTGTGCCTTCTGATGGGGGTGAGAGATGTCAATTGTCTCTGGATGATTTGAGCATCTGAACAGGTTTGCAAAGAACACGTGTGAACTGGTTTTGGAAAGTCTTCTGTGTTCATCCAGTTTCTTTGGGTTTCCACAGGACAGCGAAAGACCACGTCCGTGACCCCAGGGAGGCTCAAAGATCAAGCCCTCAGCCTGAAGCAGGATGTG